CGTCACTCACTGCAGCATCTGATAACATAACAGAGGGAAACTCCTATGGTAAGTTACCTACATTACCACATGAGCATTTATCATTGCCGTTTTTCCCACTGACAAATTTTGATAAATGAAACAAGCGTGTTTCACTGGAACAAGTATATTTCTATCACTGAAATAGATGTTATAGCAACTTCTGTGAGGGCAGGTAGGTAGAAAAATACAAACTGCCATATTGCTTAACTGACAGAGGACAAGGCATGGTAACTACAAAGCAGCAGGCTATTTTTCAGTCTCACCTGCATATTTTGACAGAATTTACTGCTTTGTGTTACAAAGAAAGAGGAGCAGGGAGAAAGACAGACAAAATCTGTGCCAGTTTCCCGTTTGAAATAGAAATTTTTGTTAGATTCCTACATATTTAACCAAGAGGCAACAAGCAGCTTATACCTGGGAGGAGCTGGCTATGCCTTGCATTCTCTCTTCCCTCCAACCCAGCTGATGACGTCAGGATAGCAGCAGCTTGCATAGTAGCTGTGTACGGGACTTTCTGCTATAAATGAACTTTTTCTCCAGGTGAAATGCTTTTCATACTTTTTATTATATTTATCATTTAACAAAATGATTCTTGGAGAGAAGTTTTTTTTTTTTTTTTTTTTTTTTTTTTTAAAGTTTACATACGTGTCTGTATGGGTGTGCACACACACAGACAGGCACAAATCAAAACCCAGCCTGAGTTAAAAAACAAAGCACCCAACAGAAACCCTCTACATTATTATGGTAATAAATCGGCACTAGATTTTCTATTCCTGCAGCCTCTGGATTAAGAAGTTGGACAAACAATCATTCAAATAAAGAAAAACAGAGGCCTGAATGGATAATCTTGTTAGACTCATACCCACAACTTTCTTCAATTTCCAGATGGCCTGACAAATCTCCTTGGCAGCTGCAATTTGAGCCTTTTCCCCAAGAAGGCCTCCTACTGTAGCTCGAAGGATAAATGAAATACAGCGGCGAGAGCAGATAGCATCCATCTGAGCCTGAATAGCCTTAGGGTGAGACTGAGACACGAGATCTAGAATATGGGAAAGGAAGGCAGAGAAGTTCCTTTCAAGCCATTGTCCTCCTAACGTGGAGACAAATACCACATATGCCTGAAAGAGATTTGAAAAGAAGTCATATTTTAGAGTAATACCATCTGGAAAAGCACTGCTAGCTATTCCCTGTACATATTTTTTGATCCTTGCACTTTGTCACAACTATAAAGTCAGTAAATTGAGGTGATTTATACATTCATAAATCACATTTCTCAGTTGCTGGTAGCTGGATTTAAAAAAAACGTTTAAATTGATATAAATTAAAACACCGTACTAGCAATATTGTAGTTTGGTGTGACTGTAAGTTCATTTGAGCTGCTTGCCTGTTTTACTTCATTTCAGAGTGTGAGAAATGCCAGTTCACCCTGCACAGGCACTTGTTATGTAAAACATTGTGTTTGGCCTCACTGAACAACAGTTTCCAGCTATTTAACATTCTGCACATGAAACCCAAATTTAATGTATGAACGCATTTTAAGAACTACTATGTTACAGAAGTACAACAAACAGCCCTGAGCGAATTCTGTTATTATAGGCTTTGAATTAGGGAATCTTTGCAGCCCCACGCACTGTTCTTCATTTCAGTGGATTTTAATTGTTTGCCTTGAGGTGAAGGTACCACAAAAAGACTATGGATGTCACAACAAAGAGAAGGAAGGCAGAGCTTTTTTACAAACCTAAGCACCACAAGACCATTTTTTTCCTACTCCCTTATAAGTGTCTTACAAGTATATATGTTGGATTCTGCTTTTAATGAATAGATTTGCTATCATGAAAAAAGTGAATACAATAAAGAGACTATGCAAAATGAACACACAAATTTCTCTTAAGAAAGTCCACATTTATTACCAGTAAACTTCAGTATTTACCCAACACATACTTTTCCCATGTCTAATATCAACAACTAAATTATTCATGTAAAAAGAGGTGAAGCAGTCTAGTTCCTTTTCTTTTCCCCCCTTCTCAGAGTTCCTAGCAAAATACTTGCGGAGAGAGGAAAAAAGAACTCACCTTCTGGATATATAAAAAAGTTGGCAGTTGAGTAAAACAATTTTTTCTTCAATAACTTAATAGCTCTTTACAAGTATTACTTAGGCTTCATAATGGTTTAATTAATCTGATAGTTGTTTTTAAAGCCAATTTAGAAATGTAGAGAATCAGAATAAAGAAAAATAGAACAAATGATTGCCTGTATTTGACCACGGTTAAAGGGTACATGTAAAACTGATTCCGAAAGAGAATCTCCTGCAAGCCTTCCTATGCTATCTCAGCTTTACTGCATTTCCCTCTGAATTCCTCTGATATTTACTTCTTTTGTTTCAAGTACAATGCCACCAACAGCTTAATTCTTTAACAGCATAGCCGAGTTCAGCTAGGGCCTTTCAAATTCTATTCAAATCATCTAATCATTAAAACACAATACTTACATAAGGCAACACTTAAACACAATACTTTTTAACATGGCTTAAAGCTGATCAAATATAAGTTATTCTTCCTTATTTAAAATGTCATCTTCAATACTTTTATCAATTTTAACTTATGACAACTTGTTATTCACATAATAATTTATATATTATATAAATTCAAGGATTTTTTTTTAAACTTACAGGCACTGATATATGCAGATTTCCTCAGTTTTTTGCTTATTTAACACATAATTCTGCTCTAACTATGATGGTGCAGTTGCAGTGTATAAATCATTTAGCACAGGTACTATTATATCAACTACATGGTCAATTTTACCCTATACAGCAAAAAGGAGGCAACCCAAACCCAGTAAAAAAAAAATCATCAAAATACTTAACTGAATTATCTATTTTTGAAAAAAAAAATAAGATTGCTCTGGGCACCTACAAGACTCTACAAAACTGGCATACATTTTCTTGCCAAATAGCAAAGATATTATTGCTCCCAGCTGTTCTGCCTCTCTGCCAAAAAAACTCCCACCCAGCATCAACTGAAGACAGAAGACATGTGTGAGCACATTTTAGCAAGGTCTGGCAACTGATATCAATTGAAGCTAATTTACAGAATTTTTGCACTACAAAAGTTGAAATGCACTCAAGCAATTCTGTTGTTGGCAATTGGGAAATATCAAACACCCGTGGGGATGGTTATATATTAAAATTATCACAGTTGTTTGAACATAAACATTCACCACTTTTCATTATGATTAATATTTTAATAATTAGGTTTTAACATGTAAATGTGCTTTAAGAAAACATTTATAGAAAAAAGTCGATCTGACTTTATCTGAAAAATTTATATTGTTTTTACCAGCATGCACTATATGCTCTGATTTCACTCCTTCTCACACAACAAGATTCTATCATCTACTGGTAAGCTGGAAATATAGTGTAGAGAGCTACCAGACTTAAACAAACAAACAAACACAAACAAAACCCTAAAATCTGTTTCATTTTTTAAGCACTCATTCAAAACAGAGCAATTCTTTCAGAATGAGACCAAAATGTCCCTACAGATAATATAAGAAAAGCAATTCCAAGTAGAAGAATTATTGCAATTATTGTAACTTCACAACTTTTAGACATACAGTATTGGTTAAATTTTAAATTAAAAAAAATACTTTGCAGAACTGATTTATATGAGTTGTATGAAATTAATATTATTAGAAGCCTTCACAAGCACTATATATTACACTTGGACAATTCCAAACTATTAGATAAGCTTTCAACATTAGAATATTTTTTATTTTTACCATGCCTAAATTTGAAAGCCCTTATTATAAATCATATTATGACAGACAAGAAAAAGGATGAAGAGAAATATGGCAAGTAGAACAGTTGTGATAGGAATGCTTGTCAATCTTAGATAATCACAAAAAATGTATTCCAAACCTGGGTGACTCCAACTCTAACATCTATGCTGACTGAACTAGTTCCTTTCAGCATATCACCGCTGGCTCGTAGAAATCCACAACTTCCACGTAAGAATCCAGTGGCTAATAGCTCCATGGCTTCGTCTAGAGAGACTCTGCGCAAGTTTTGCCTGGTGGATGCTAAAAATAGGCATACACATTTAGCAGACCATGTCTGTAAAACTTTCTGTATTTTAGAAGGAAAGCTTCAACTCTAATAATTAAAAAAGCTTTTGCACAAATTCAGTAGTTTAGCCAATTCAAAATATTGGTAAAGCAAATAAGAGATTTTAGAATCCAGTGCTCTTGGAAACTAGAAAAAGCTACTCACATTCTTCTGCTTCAGCTATAGATCAAAATAATCATCACCTAGTATGTATGAATATAGACCTTCCCATAGCATTTACATCCATTTTTACTTCTGCAAAACAGACTGTATTGCTTATTCCTCCCCACTCCAATAATTTTTTCTTACACTTTAGATTTCCTGAAGGCCCCAATCCATCCCACCACCGAAGAAAATCAAGGAATTTCATATTTCATATAGAAAGTTTAAAATATACACTGGGACATGATGGCTGGACAGTGTGCAAACTGAGATATTCATGACAGTTTACTTTCTCTTTCAAGTATGGAATGAAAAGAACCACCAGACAGAGTTTACATTCTGATCTAATATTACCCATAGCTTGAGAAGAACTTGAGAGGTTTCAGTCAACCGCCTATTTTTTTTTTTAAATAACAAAGGAAGAGTCAGCAGACAAAATATGTACTTCACCTGTTGTGTGTTTCGATGTTACAGCTCTAGCCAACACGGTGCCCAAAAGCTTTGAAACCGCTAACCGCACATCGTAATTGGAACCTTCAAAGGATTTAAAGCAAAGGGTCACAACACTATCGAGGTCTGTACTCCACATAAAAATGGCTTCATTCTGAAGTTCAAGAAGACACTAGACAAAAGGAAAAATTTTAAAGGTAAATATGCAAAAGCACTCAATACAGATTTTAGCTTGCAACATAATACACAGAGGTCTAACAACTATGATGCTTCACACCAAAATGACTTAAATTTTCCCTGCTAAGGCAATGTCTAAGAAAGCAATACAGATGAGCAAACAATATATTTAGTGCTGTGTTTATCATCATTAAAACAATGTTATTTAGGGAAGTTACTTAATGAAAACAATTAATAGAGCACTTTACCTTTGCGGCAGCACAGCGGACTGCCATGGATCGATCTGTTAAACATGACCGGGCAGCTTTGTAAATCTCTCGGTGACATGGGATAGCAGCAGCTCCTAAACCGTTTAATATATTTTGTAAACTAAGCATGATTTCATAACGACCTTGAGACTAAAAAATGAAAAAGATGAAATGTTAAAGTTGCAATGCTCCTGAGAAATATAAAACACTGACTACTGAAACAGTTCTTTTGAATGTTTGTTTTCTAAAAACTGTTTGGAAATCTACTTTTGCTTAGGTGAGTTAAAGCAGATAACTTGTCTTGTAACACTACAAATTGAAAATAATAATTCTGTGTTCTACCAGAAAGTACTCACTGGCAGTTTAATGCTGAAAATATGAAGTTAAACCCAGATCACAAATGTTCTCATTAATTAAAGCTATTAGTCTTGTTTATCAAGTTCTTCCATGAAATCATCTTTAAAATACTATGATCCATCCTTTTACAGTCACGTCATTACATTCTGTAGTCCTTTTCGTTATTTAGACATCGATGATCTTTATCCTGTGATTTTCTACGATTTTTTTCATATATTGGTATCATGCAATTTCTCCTATTCACTGGCCCACCTACTAACAGTAAAGATCATATTAATTTCTCAGGCTTTTAAACATGCTGTTCCAATACCTCTGCATTCTTCATTGCTTTAAGCACATTCCCAACGGTGTCAGTAAAACTGTTTCCCAAAATTCTTCCCAATTTTTTGTATAAATAGCCCAAGCATACCACCGCAGCACTAAAACAAAGCAAATCCAAAAATATGTGAAAATGAATGCAACAGCAGATGAAAAGGATTGAAAAGACTGATGTAGTCAATGGGCAAACAACAAAACAAGCAAATATTAGTGTCCTATAAATGTAAGTGGATTATTAAAACAAAAAAAAGAAAAAAAGGTCTGTGTGTGGCACACACTCACTCTATTGGAGAACTAAGGATGCTGGAGTTGAGAAAGTAAGTTGGAAAATACAAAAATACAGATAATGCCATCCCGATAAATTTATAATAAAATGCTCTTTCCTTTCTTTCCTATCTTCCTTTCCTATGAGATTTTTAAGCCTTAAAAACAGATTCCTAAATAAGCACGACCTGCAGCATGCAGCCTATGACACTGTGCTGCGGCAAATACTGCTTGCAGCAGCCAAGGACAGGTTTGCTCACAATTTAGAGAGCCAAAGGAAGACTAAATGCTTTCTGTAAAAGCAAATGTAGGTGTCACACTTAAGACCTTGGCATCTAAGCATAATCATAAATAACGACAAAACACTTAAGAGAATTTCTTATTTGCAATCCAAATTTCAAACCCATGTTTCTTTGCTGCAAAAAGATTCTGAAATTAGTTTCTGGATAAAACAACTGATAGCTGGAGTCAATGCGCCATATATGCCTACAGGTATTTCCTTTATCAAAAGCAAACAAACAGATAACAAAATTGCTAAGTATTTAGTACTGAACAAAGAAAACAAAACAATAGAAAAAAGCGGTTTAATTAAAGAATAGTTTTCCTTTGAAAAACTACTTCAGGCAAATATATAAACATATTTTTATTGGCAGATAAACCAGCCACATTGATTTGATGAATACAAGAAGATGAATACAAGAAGAATCCCATCTTTAATCAGCTTTCTGCTCCTTGGTCAGACTTGCTGAATATCCAGTGACAATGTTTAGAAGCTTTTCAAAAAAACAAAATTTAATTTATTCCTCAATTTAACTCAAGTGTTGCATAAGGTGTTCTTAAATCCCATATTGAAGACTTTCTTAATTAGAAAAGCTTATTTAACAACCATCCAGCAAGTAACAAAACACAGTGAGAAAAAATACCCCAATAATCTTCTCTCTTATGACACCAAAATCCCATTTTCCCCAAAGATATATTTTTCATTATTGTTTCCGTCCAGCTTTGTGCACATTGACAGTTTGGAATTACATCTTGCTTTGGTATTTGTGGCTAGGCATAAAATTACATTTGCAACATCTACCTACTTGGATAGTCACAGGTTAGTTTTAAGCTACACACACACACACATATATATAGCTTACTCTATATATACACTGCACCATTAATAACACAGTCATGTTTTATTATCTCCACTTATATCCTATTTTCTTAAATACAGTGACATACAAACACTGTCAAAGGCATGAATGTTATTCATAGCTCATCGTGATTTTGTATGCCCCTAAAAATTGGTTTCACACCCTGCACTAGCCATTCAAGTTCCTCCACTTTGTTGGCTGAGCTTCTGCCATTTGTTCACAGACATTTCTGATGTTTCTAACCAACTGTATCCAGTTCCCCAGTGGGATTAGAAAATACATTCAATAACCGTACTTTGTAGTTGGAGTTGCATTAGTCTGTTTTACTGCTTTTCTCGTCAATTTTAGTACTGCTACTTTTTCAGACACCTACCCATGATACACTGCGTTACTCATTGGTGATATTCTCTCTGGCCTAATTTTCAGCTGTTTTCTATCATTTTGGTTCCTGTTGCACATATGCAATACTTAACATCACCATATTCTTTGTTTCAAAATTTATCCTATGGCTTTTGGAGTTTCAAAATTTATCCTACGGAGTTATCTGAATTCAGGTTTATCATGCAGATGGGATTTTTTCCCCTTACTGATGTTAAATAATTTTAAAATGTTCCTTTTTTTTTTTTTGAAAGAAATAGGAGTGCTTAATTATCTCTCCATACAACATGGGCCTTTCTAGATGACACCAGAATTCTGTATCTACTGTCAGCTTCTTTTATCCCCCCTTACCAAATAAAAACTTTAGGCGTAAATTGGCCTCAGTTCACCTCATGACTTTAAGGCATACTATGGTTATTCACAACTCTGAATGACAGTGTACAAGTACAAGCTTTACATATACACACGCACACTCATAAGTTAATTTAGCTTAGGTTTCCCATCACTCTTAAGGCATTTCTTCCAGTAGGCACAACAAACACTAAACATCTTGCTAAGTCAAATTTGATCTAACATGCACAATCTAGGCTGAATCCCATCAGCTAGTTGCTCAATTTAACTGTCCTAAAAAAGTCAAAAATAATCACTTTAAAAGGCAATTGATTTTTATGTTTATGTGAATCACAAGAAGAAATTTCTAAATAAGGAAGAAAAGTATATTTTAAGCTCTCCTGGACCCTTTGCATTGTGAAGTATTACTTTATTCACAATATTCTACAGGAATTCTTAGCCAAAAACTGCAAGTAAACAAACCTAAAGCAACACATGAAATTTTGCATAAGTACTAAACTACTTCTAATTCTGCCCTGAAGACACTTTGAATTTGCTTTCAGTTTTCAGATTAGCTTAGCTCCCCATGGTAATATTCATTCTCCAAAAATTTTGGAGATGTAATACTGATGGATGCACCCACAAGAATGATGCTATTCAGGGAGCCTTCCACATTTTCTGTGCCACATGACACAAACCACGCACTGCTCAACTGGAAGAAGTGAGGGGACATACCATCCCCTACCTGCACCTCTTTTCAGCTGTATCTCTCTGTTGTTGTTATTGAAACTGAAGTCTAGGATTAAAAAAAGATACATAAATACTTACAGTTTTGTAGGCAGATAACTAGGTGAATCATCTTTACTTCGAATGAGTTCATTGCATTTGTCAATTGTTTGATAAACAGAAAAAGTGTCTCCAGTGCTATAAAGTACAGCTAAATTCTTGGCAATAAGCCGCCTGGTAGGAGGTCCTGGTGAGTTGTTTAATAAAGAAGTCAATTGTTCAACCAGTTTCTTCTGGTTTTCCCTTATATCAGTCTAGAAATAAGAATAAGAAAATTAAATTAAAAAAAAATAGTGAACAGCTAGAATTCACCTAAATTTCAAGTTAGGCAAAGATAATTAGTGACAATTCTCTTTAACCTCTTCATCTAATTATTAATGAATTATTCATCTAATTATGTAATTAATTATTGGTATTGTGATATTCTTACTAAAAAAAGTTTTATTCCACTTTTCTACTGAAAGTAATCTGAAAAAATGTGACTAATTTAAATAAATTAAAAATAAGATATAAACATATATATATATTTTCTCAAGTTACATTATACTTACTTTGCTAGCAACTGGCAAAAGTTTTTCCAAAAACTGTAACCATTCAAAAATAAACTCTGCTTTTTGGAATTCACCAAGCTGGTTATATGCTTCTTCGTTAAGTAGTAAACTGTGAGCTAACTCCATTCCTTGGGGATTTCCCTACCACTCCTCAAGCACCATGGGATTTAAAAAAAAAAAAAAAAAAAAAAAAAAACACAGAACTGTGTTAACCAGTCAGATTTTCTTCCTCATTAATACATGGTGATCGAGTTGGAAGTTTGAACACCTAGAGAGAAAAAGAGGGAGAAGAAAAAAAAAAAAAAAAAAGACTAGTAAGTCAGCAATCATACCATAATTTATTGGCTCCCCTCCACTACAGTAGTTTTAGTTTTATTCAGATGGCTTTAGCAATACTTAAGGGTCTTGTTAAATCAATACCATTGTTATCTCATTTCCATGCCAGTTAAGATCAAATATATTTCAAAAACAAATACGTTTTCAATGAACTATCATTTTTTCTGCATCTTGTTTTGCGTAAGAGAAGGTATTATAGTACCTGTTCAAACAATTGTCCAAAAGTAATGACCAACCAGCCCCAAACATAATTAATTTCATGAACTAGAATTAAGTGCAGCAATGGAAGTCACCTAAACCTTAGAATCCATATTAATTCAATTCCAAATATAGATCAATCCCTTTCCACAAGTATATATGCTAAAACCTTATTCAGCTGCTCCATTTATTCTCGAAACTAGGCAAGGTGTAAAATTAAAACCAAAAATACTAATCGATGAACAAACTTTTAATGAGTCAAAAAAGGGAGAAAAAACAAGACCAAAAAAAGAAAAAAAAAATGTAAATGCTGCTATATTCCACCTCAAATTACCTCAGAGATCCCCATATTAAAGATGAACATAATTAAAAGGATTTCAAGATAAAAATATTTCTAAAGATTTTTTCTTTCCTATTTAAATGCCACAGAGATTCAAACTACAATGTAGATTTTTAAGAGATTTTTAGTAGGTTTCTCAAACAACAACAGTCAAAGAGAATCTGGAAAATACCAGTCATATTTCAAACTCCCAAACAAGTTATCCTTTCCAAAGGTCATTGAGACTGCTGAACACACATTTTTCCCTATGCAGTAATAATATTATAGTGTAAAATGATCTATCAAACAGTAAATGGACAATACAAAGCACTGCTAAATAATTCAGTGTTCTGGTTGTCATCAAATGCACACCAGAAGGTTACCTTCACCATTCTCCCCATGTTCTTAATATTTTTATATAAAATTTACTGACAAAGGAAACTAGTCACATCTAATTTAATAAAACTGTCATTTTAAATTTACCTGAAATATCAGGCAGCTTGACAACGTATCACTCTAGAAAATGACAAGTAGAGATGATATACATATGTAATTATACCTACAAATATGTAATCTGCTTAGGTACATAGATGTTCACTATTTATTAGCCAGCTCACCCCATGAATCCTCACACTGCAGTTAACTTCATCCTCCTGACCTTTTTCTGCTTACTACAGAAACTATAGAATAACACATTTTATTGCACATTTCAGCAGTCTCATCATTGCAGAGCACAGAAATCAAATGAACAAGTCACACAATTGTCTGTTTTCTCATCCAAGGCATGTCCCAATCTCCAGGATCCTTACATGACTTGCCAAGAGGAACTGATTCAACTTGCAAGGTTAAAATTACAATTCACAGCTTTTTTCTCCAAAGAGAAAAGAACCCAGATGGATCTCAGACATTGTCATTTGACTTACCCTAATGGATAATTTCTCCACACAGTAAAAAAATATGCTCTGTCCTCTAGGCTCTCTTGGATAAAGGATGTCAAGAACACAGCTTCCTAGAAACAGTTAACATAAAAAGTAATGAAAAAAAAGGGAAAAAAATAGCTGTTCTACAGTAAACAAAAACTAACTCCCAAAATCTTCCATAGTGACACTTTATCAGTTACTGACTTCCCAAAAGGTAGAGAACTGGAGCTCTACAAGTAAAACTAGCTCGTTATTTAGGCTGCATTTCCATTGGGCAGACCCACTACACTTATCATACAATTTAATTAATTCAATTATTGAAAATACCCTTCTTGTGTGAATTCTATTAATTCAGTTTAATTTTAAATGAAAAAGTACTAGCTCAGATAGCATACCACAAATATTTTCTTAGAAGATATCTCCAATGTCTTCATAGGACTTACACTACTTGTGTATATCTAAAAACAGATATATGCAAAATATTTAGCTTATGAATGTGGAATGCTATTATGAATGACCATGTCTTTGTCACTAAATCACAAACTAATTTAAATGTCATAGCATTCATGTCTGAATCAACATCCAGCAGAACTGGCAAAGGGGACTTGACTATTTAGAAAAGCCAATACACAATACTAAGGATACATCAGGACATCAAGATTATTAATCTACTCTCCTAGCTTCTAGAAATACTTTTAATATTAGAATGAATGGGTAAAAACCTTTCCTTTTAAACATCATCCAACTTGAATGTAGCCTGGCAGGCAAACAAATAGAGAACATACACTGTTTTTCAATAACCACATTTCAATCGCTCTTTTAAAGAACAAATAGAAAGTGGATTTCGAATCTACACTTCTGAAGATCTTATCAGCAATATTTATAAATCCCTAATAATCCCAGGCATTATTTCCACTGACCGCAGTAGTTAGGAAATAGCCGGTGCTGCATTTATTTCTCTATGGTCTGTTACAAAGCAGAAACTGAAATGATTATTAACACTTTTGATACTTTGTATCTTTTGCTGTTCAAAAACTTAATCTCATCAAATTTTGCACAGTGCATTGAGGGAGAACATTAAGCAGCTGCAGACCCGGACACAGGCTTGTTCATAGTGGCCCCAGGTGACTGCTCTGCGTGGCAAGGTGACAGCCCGCGCGGCGGCACCCATGAGAGCAAGGCCACCTCACCAAAGGAAGCACTGGCTTCCTCCGCTCGGCGCTCACCGGAGCGCCACCGCAACACGGGCTCCAGCTTCGGGCTACAGGGCTTTTTTCCCCAACTGCAATGGACAAAGCCCTAAGGAACCTGGTTTAAACTCAAGGTTGACCCGTTTTTAAGCAAAAGGTTGAACTAGATGACTCTTAGCAAAAGAATAAACTACATGATTCTGCATTTTATCAGCTATCCCACTTACTAATCACAGTGTCAACATATAGGAAGCACTTCCTGTTAATCAGCAAAGGTCTAAGTTTATATTGCTCTACTAAAGTGGTTATTGTAACATGGTTCTAAGTGTGATACTTCTACAGTCAGAATGTGCAATTAGGATTTGAGTAATCTAAATTAAAAGAGAAAAACATTAAAGTGTAACTGGTTATCTTTAGAATGATTATTTCCTAACATAACTAGAAATACTAACATTCCTCAAAAGTAAGGCTGGATCAGTTCTGAATTACAAAGGCTGACTGTTCATCATGCCAGATTTAGTGAAAACAAGAATGCCAATGAGGCAAACAGTCACAAGTGGGATCTTTCCAGTGTCAGCCAACAAGGTCAACGCTGGTTCCAAGACGCTATGTACAAAACGAATACTCTCCACCCTACTCAAAACATCTACCGACCTTATTTTTACTGAGTTGTAAGCCTATACACCACGAATATTTATGAAGTTTTAAAATAATTTTAAAAGGGGCATAGTTGTGCAATTTTCTAAGAAGAAAGGGA